GTTATAAACATAACCCATTCACCCATTGTCCCGTCAATAAAGAAATACAAGAATCCGGAAAATGTAATTGTAATGCTTCTGATAGTTTTGGTAAGAACTTTAATATAAAGATTTTTTATTTATTAGGATTATTATTGAAAATTTAAATATTAAATTCATTTCTTTTTGGTAGATGATAATGGCTATTCCTGTACAACAAAATGGTTTGGTCTCTAATGAGGGCATTGTATTTTGTATTTTGTATTTATAATTGCAAGATTTAGTTTATTTTACATGTTAATGATGAAAATAGATAGCATAGAAAAGTCAATAATCAATCTAATTAATAAAATACAATTTAATTAAATAAAATCTGTAACTAATTTATGACTTAAAAATCTCAAAATTTGATAAATATCTAGCCCATCTCTTTCGAAACCCTGTTGTTTTCAAGTAATTCTATTTTCAAAGGTCTGGGGCCTACGTCTCCAGCTTGATTTAAGGCTGCTATTATTATATTCCCATCTAATTTATAATGCTCCTATATTGCATATATTAATTAACAGTTGGTAAAATTCATTTTGTATAATATTTTTAAATACTCCAGATTTTGACAATTTTGACCAATTGAATGAAGAAGCTCTCCTAAACATGATCATCATTTGGAACGCCATCAATATTCAAAGCTTTAGACGTGCTTTCGTTGATTTTAATAAAATCGGATACATAACAGAAAATGTTGATAAATGAATCTTCAATCAATAGAAATGATGTGCGTCTTAAATTTTAAATTTATCATTAGTTGGCCTTCTTAAAAGAAGCGAATAATTAAATTTTTTAAAAGTGGGTATTACTAAAGAATCTAAATTGCCTGTCACGCTGCTACAATGATTTATTATCGATTTGAAAATTAATATTATTTCTTTATTTTGTTTTTTGTGCTCTAATTAGTTGAGCCAAACTATGATCTTTGTTATCATTATTATGATTACCATCTAAAGAGCTACTATTAAAACTTGAATATTCTTGCAACAAAATCGCTAGCTTATCAATCTTTAGAAAAATGTCAATCAAATTCATAAAAATCTTGAAAATTGCTTTAAATCTATTGACAATTCAATCCCCGATTAGTACAATTAAAGATTTCTTATAGTTGAATATTCTGAAATAAAGTTTTGTAATATATTATTTTTTTTTGTAATTTATTATCATCAAGCTTAATTTGCATTTAAATTTAGGATAGTTAAATAATGGTGGCTGTTGTTTTTCTAATTTTAATTTAATGTCATTTTTCATCACAATCAATTATCATTTGTGTTGTTATTAAGAAGGTATGAATCTCTCCATAAAGCTATATATATTAACTAGAGTGCAAGAATGTAATATTTCATATTATTGTTGTTTGGACAAATCGATACTCCAATTAAAAAGACACGTGTTGGAAGATTGTGTGTTCAAATGATATACTTGAATCAGGGAACTTCATGTCTCAGTATTGATTGCTGATTGGCTGTCGCAAAAAACTAAATTCGATAGATTTAATGATATGAAATCTTGATTTAAATGAAAGAGCGTATTCCACGAACATCTGTAAGATGACCTGAAATGTTAAGTGCCATTTAGTTTTTAACCCAATACATTGTTTAATTCTTGGAGTGTGGTGGAAAAATTAATAATGACCAATTGAAATTAGTTAAGGAAAAAAAATTTTTTTACCGGCAGATAGGTATTTCTAATTATAATAATAATGGATTGTATGGGTTCTTTTGTATGCAAGCAATAAGCTAGTTTTGGAAGAGTCTGTTCATCATCTTAATGTTATTAGTTCACAGAATCACCCCCGTTAAATTATAGTTTTTAAACTTGTAAAATTGCATTGCGGGCTTCTTCTGGTGCTGTCAGAAAAAAATGAATGGAACGTTAGGTAATGGCATTTTACAGAATTAATATTAATTCAGAAATAGTTGTTGATTTTATTTTTGTTTGGGTTTATGCTAAGACAAATGGAGGAAATATTAATTAGATTTTATGACAGGTTGTAAAATTATTATTCTCAAATGGGAATTGGACTATATACACTACCTGGACAAAAGTATAGGGACACCTGCAGATCATCACAAAATAATTGAATAAAGTGACATGACAAAAACTAAAAATTTTACTATCCCAAATAGCATAACGGAATTTCTAAATGTCGATCATTTTCCAAAAATTGTTACACGGTTATTTATATTATTTTACAATAGTCG